AAAAAAAAAAAAAAAAAAAAAAAAAAAAAAAAAAAAAGAAGCAGAGCTGTGTTACTGCTTTACCATGCATTGTCCAGAGCAGCTCTGCTTGGAGTCTGCATGCCAGGGTGGCCAGAACCAACAGAAAGGGAGGTTACCAGAACCAACAGAAAGGGAGGTTATTTGGCCAAAGACTGTTTCATCTCATTCATGCAGGGCCAGGTGACCACTCTCAGCCCAGGCAGCATCTGCTTTGCTGGAGCCTGGGATTCATCTGGTGTCTTGATGTGGCATCTCATGTGCCTGGTCCCAAAGTTAGAGCTTCCTCAGCACTGCCCTGGGCCCTGACAGCATGTCATGCTAGCTGCAGATGTCCTTTGGACACATCTCCTATCCAGCACATACTTAGTGTTCATATGCACTATTTCTTTCAACCTTTATAACAACTCTGTGAGAGGAATGACCATGTACTCTGTTATCCAGATGAGGAAACTGAGGTTCAAAAGAATTGGCTCATACAGGGTCCCATAGCTAATGTGTGTGTTTTTAAGTGTGTGAGCTATATACCAGGCACTCCGAGTGGTATTTAGCAGGTACTGCCAGTGTGGAGGACCACTGATGTAGAGCAGTATCTCTCTAGATTGGTGCTCATACCATGACAGTTAAATACCTTAAATATCACCTGTGTTAGTCAGCTTTCTGTTACTTCCTATACTTCATAATATCTAGGAAGCAAAGAAAGGAAAAAGCAGGGTTGGGGCCTCAATATTCCCTTCAAGGACATGCCCCCAATGACCTAACTTCCTCCCATTGGGCCCTACTTCCCAGAGATTCCACCATGTCCCACTAGCACTACAGGCTGGGGGTCAAGCCTTCAATACATAGGCCTTTCAGAGATTGTCCAGATCCCAACTCTAGCGGGCACACATCTGTAATCCTAGCAATCCTGAGGTAGGAGGATTGCTGCTAGTTCAAGGCCAACCTGGGCTACATAGTGAGTTCAAGGCCAGCCTGTACTACAAAGGGACACCCTGTCTCAAAAAACAAAACAAAACAAAACAAAACCCAACTCTAGCATTAGTTCTGCTTGTGGGCTTTCAAAGCCCAGAGGCTAGGACTGAGGATATAGCTCAGTGGCAGAAGCGCCTGCCTGGCAAGTGCAAGGTCCTGAATTCGATACCTGGAACAAACACAAGCACCTGCCTGGCAAATACAACGTCCTGAGTTCAATTTCTGGTACAAAAAAACAAAACAAAAAAAAACAATTCTAGCCTCAAAGCCCAAAGGCTTGATGTTGTTTCTCCCATGCAACTCTAGGGATGACCAATCCTGAGGTAATTCAGAACCTGGAGCGAGGCTACCGCATGGTACAACCTGACAATTGTCCAGAGGAACTGTACCAGCTCATGATGCTGTGCTGGAAGGAGCGCCCAGAGGACCGGCCCACCTTTGACTACCTGCGTAGCGTGCTGGAGGACTTCTTCACGGCCACCGAGGGCCAATACCAGCCCCAGCCTTGACAGGCCTCGCTGGCCTGTGCCCTGCCCCCATCTCACAACCCTGGCTTGGAGAGGGGGTGTTTTGGTGTCACAGCCAAATGACCTGGGCACGATGGACTCTTCACGTGAACCTCACCAATGTGCAACACGTGTCATGCACACACGTCCTGTAGTTGTGTGGGCTCTGTACACGTCTGACACATGTGGAGCCTATGCATGTATGTTTTGGATACCATCTAAAGTATGTCTTTCTGGATGCTCTCATTTCCTGAGAGCATGGAGAGGGGAGAGAAACCTGTGATTGACATCTGCTTCTGCTCCCCACTTTTCTTCTCTCAGATTATGCTGAAGCTCACTGTGGGCTGGGGCGTTATCCTAATACCTCTGTGTGCTCCTCCACGGTGCCTGGCATGCGTCAGGAGCTCAATAAATGTCTTTGGATGTAGGGTGCACATTTCTCCACCCCAACCTCTGTCTCCTTTTCCTTTTGGTGGGTTGGGGGCTTGAGTAGATGGAAACTGGGTCATCGTGAGCTCAGGGTAAGAGGTGGCATAAGTGGTTATCTGAGCTTCTTTCAGTCGTTTTGATGCTGGGGGCAATGGGAGGGTCCCACAAATCTGCTGTACACACTCTTCAAACCCCTTCAGGTGAGACAGCACTCTCCCCCTGCCCCCCAGGGATCTGGGGACTAGCTTTACCTGGAAGCTCTTGGGGAGTGGGTGTGCAACAGAGCTTTCTTCCCCTTACAAGGGCAATAGAGTTTTTGTTAAGCTACTGATTTAGGGCTAAGTTTGACCTCAGATATATTTTGATTCACCTTTATGATGTTGCATGTGCCGGGCAGTGTTTGAGGCTCATAGGAAATATGGTAGGTAAAACATGCACACAAGCTGGGTGTGATAGCCCATATTTATAATCCCAGCACTTGGGAGGCTGAGGCAGGGTGATCACCGCAAGTTCGAGGCCAGCCTGAATTGCATACTGAGACTCTGTCTGAAAAAAAAACAAACAAAAAGAAAATAAATAAAAATAAAAACTGCTTTGGTAGCACATATGCTAAATAAAAATAAAAACAATGTACACAAGTCTCTGACTTTGTGGAGCTTACATTCTAATATGGGAAGGCATACAGTCAACAACACAAAACAATAAAATTATATAGAGGTAACTGCCAAGAGAAAAATACAGCAGGGTAAGGGGAGTTGAGAATGTCATGCTTTAGGGAGGTTTGCAACTTTATTTATTCATCTATTTCTATTACTTACTTATTTTGTCTTTTTGAGACAGGGTCTCACTATATAGTGCAGGATGGCCTTGAACTCACTTTGTAGCCCAAGCTGGCCTCAAACTCACAATAATCCTCCTGCCTCAGCCTCCTGAGTGCTGGGATTACAGGTGTGTGCCACCATGCTTGGTCTGAGGTTTGCAATTTTACAGAAAGAGATCAGGGAAGGACTCACGAAGAAAGTGACTTTTGTTTGTTTACTTATTTTGTTTTCGGTGCTGGGAATCCAACCTATAGCTTTGCCCATGCGAGGCAAATGCCTTATACTTAGCTATACCTGTAGCACCATAGGATGGTGCTATTCCCTCTCTCAGGCTAGCATAAAACTCTAGATTTCTGCTTTCTCTTAAAAAATGGAATGACAGACATGGTGGCGCATGCCTGTAATCCCAGCATGCGGGGAGCTGAAGGAAAAGGATTGTTTTGAGTTTGAGACCAGCATGGGCTACAAAGTGAGCTCAAGGCCAGCCTGAACTGCATAGCTCTTTTTTGAGATCCTGTCTCAAAAAGACAAAAAAAAAAAAAGGAAAATTTGCCAGGCATTGAGGTTCATGCCTGTAATCCTAGCACTCAGGAGGCTGAGGCAGGAGGATCACCACAAGTTAGAGAGTTACAGAGTGAGTTCAAGTTTAGCCTAAAGTACAAAGTGGAACTATATCTCAAAAAACTAAACCAGTGGGCTGGGGATATGGCTCAGTGGTGCAGCACCTTCCTGGCAAGCTTGAGGTCCTGAGTTTGATTCCTAGTACCAAAAAAAAACAAAAACCAAACCAAACCAACCAACCAAGCCGATGCTGTGCTGCTGAGTTATATCCCTGATATCCAAACCAAACAACCAACCAAACAACCAACCAAAAACCCAGAAGATTTGCCAAATATGCTGATATATATGCCTGTAATCCCAGCATTCTAGGAGGCTTAGGCAGGAGGATCTTGAGTTCACAAGTCTGAGCCCAGCCTAGGCAATTTAGCTTCTTTGAGAGACCCTGTCTCAAAAAACAAGAACAAAAATCAATCAATCAATCACGGGCTGAAGATGTAGTTCAGGGCAAAGGCCCTGCGTGTAATCCCAGTACCCCGAAAACAGCAGATTTGGCTACACTGGGGTGATCTGTCTCCATGGAGTGGAACAGTGGCCCTACCATTCAGGTAGGGTGTGAGCTTTCTCGGTACCAGTTTCCTCCACTCCCTGTTGTTCTCAGACAGTAAAACAGATGTTAGTAGCTATTGTCATCAATCTTAAAGAGGAAAAGAAAATGCTTTTTGGCACTCACATTTCCATGAAGAGTAGAGAAAACTGAAATACCTGAAAATGGCAGTGTGCTTGTGAGAGATGGAGAAAGACATGTTGCTTTATGAAACTGAAAAACCCAAAAGAATATCTGAGTTATAATATTATAAACTCATTCATTTATATTACCTGCCTGAATTACGTAGGCATTTGAGTTTATGACCCCTGTTCTGCATTTTATGTACAACCGTCACACCCAGGATCTCATCTGTCCCACCCCATCCTCTTTTGGTTACTGGGTGCAGCCATAGAGTTGGGGAACTTTGTTTTCTTAGCTCTTTTTTTGTTTTGTTTTGTTTTCCAGTATCGGGAATCGAACTCAAGACCTCGCACTTGCCAGGCAGACGCTGTGCCGCTGAGCTAAATCCCCAGCCTCCGTACCTATGCTGTTTCTGTAATACAAACTCTCAGTCTTAGATCTTCTGCTTTCGGCCTCAGCCTCCCGGGTGCTGGGATTACAGGCGTGCACCACCATGCCCAGCCCTGAGCGCTATTTAAAAAGCCATAAAATGTATCTTATTGACTGTACGCCAGATGTATGTGGCTAACTTAGCACCATGCTGGTCAGGTAGTAAGTACTTACTAAATGCTAAGGTTATTGTGACTGTTGTTTTAAAACTGAGCAAGTGCTTTTTGGTCTTTTAACTTTAGGTAATGACCAGTTGATCCTGATCCGTCTAGCATTTAGTGCAACGATTCTCTAGGGGAGGGGAGGGGACAATTATACACTCCATCTAGACACTCTCACCCCGGCAATGTCTAGAGACAATTTTTATTGTCACAGTGTGTATGTGGGGTGCTGCTGGCATTTAATGGGTAGAAATCAAGCATGCTGATAAACATCTATGACTTAGAGGACAACCCCTATAGGGAAGAATTATCCAGCCCAAAATGCCAACACGTCAGGGCTGAGAACCCTGTTTTTCTAACAATGGTACAATCCCATTTCCTGCTGTCTAAAGGCTACTTAGCCATTCGGGGGCCTGTATTGTGGGGGCAGGCTTTGGGGTTGGAAAGGGTGGGTTCTGCCACTTTGTTCAGCGCCTTTGGTGCACAGCAGGTATTCAAAAAATCTGTACAACTGAAAAGACTTCCAGCAGTTCACAAAGGCCTGAAGGTTTTGTGTCTGGTGTGGGGCCACATGAATGCTAGGCAAAGCTCTACCACTGGGTTACATCCTCATCCCTCTTCAAATTTTTTCCATTTTGACATACGGTCTTGCTAAGTTGCCCAGGCTGGCCTCCAACTTGCCATCTTCCTGTCTCAGTTTTTGAGTAGCTGGAGTTACAGGCGTGCGCAACCGCGCGCAGGCAGCCGCGAAATTCTTTACCTGCAAAATGGTGGTTAAAAGCCTTCCACCAGAGCTGCTGTGAGAAATAACTAGAACCCTGGTAAAGGGCACAGTACTTGGTCCCCCGTGGGGACAAACTTTAGTTTTCTTTCCCTTTCTTGTCATTTTATTTTTTTCTCCTTGAAACCCTCCTTCGAATCCAGGTTGAGCCTACTCGCTCGCTGAGTGACCTTATGCAAGTCATTTTTCCTTTACAGGCCTCGACTGAGTCTCTATAAAATTAAAAAGTTGGCCTCGGATCTCCAAGCATGCTTCCAACAACGCAATGGGACTGTGAAGTTTACCGGGAGGCTTTCCTCCCCGGGGATTGATGGTACGGTCCCCCGGCAGTTCCCCCACCCCTCTGTCGCGGACCTTGGTACAGGCCCAGGGGGCCCTCGGCAGCCGCTCTGGGCTGCCCTTACCCCCCGCCGAGTTCCGGGCCTGTCTCTGTGCAAGCTGATTGGCTGGAGAGGTGCCCGGGCTGCGCGGCAATAGGTGAGCCTGGGAGGGGACGGGCGGGGCTGCAGCACCGCCCCTCCCCCCTGGGTCGGCCGCCGAGTGGAGCCGCGGGCGGGCGGACGGACCGACTGACGGGAGGGACTGGAGGCAGCAAGATGGCGCAGACTCAGGGCACCAGGAGGAAAGTCTGTTACTACTACGACGGTGAGCCCCGTCCTGGCGGCGGGGGCGGGGGCGGGGCCTGGCCAGCCGGATCGGGCAGAGCGAGGCCGGGGAGATCGGAGAGAGGAGGCTGGGCGCCGGGGAGAGGCTGCGGGAGGAGGCTGAGAGCGGGAGGTCCAGGCTGAGGGAGGAGACTGAGGCCGAGAGGGGTCGCGCGGGGGAAGCCTGCGAGGGTGTCTGCGGGGAGCTTCTTGACGGAGTCTGATGGGGAGAGTTTGAGCGGGACTCCGGGAGGGGAGGCTGAGTCCGATGGAGACGGTTGCAGGGATGGGTCTCGCTGCTGAGAATACAAAGGCACCGCTCTCGGTGTCCCGTGCCGTCCTCGTCGCTTTTGGAGAGAGCCCTGCGGGACTGGCCACCCGCTTCCCCTCCCCCAGGCTCCGAGCACGGCCTGCAACTGGTGCCGGGAAGGAGGGCCCCGGGGCTGGAAGGAGAGGGGTGCAACCTGTTCACACAACTTTCCGTTGAGCAGAAGTTTCTGAAGCGGCTGCCTGTTCCAGGGGTTTAGGTGCTGGGGCCGGGGGGCTCATCCAAGGCACGCTTCCTATTCAGCTCGCGGTCTAAAGGGGGAGCTAGGCTGCGTCAGAAGTACCCTCAGATGTTAGTGCTGGAGTGAAGAGGCTCCGAGTGCCGGGGAGCTCGAGAAGAGGCCCCCCAGCCAGCCTGGGGTCAGGGCAGGAGGAGTCGTCTCACTTAGGACCCGAAGAACAGGAGCTGTTAGCCAGGCAGGACACGGGCAAGGTAGCACAAGGCTAGAGGCGAGGCAGAGGACAGCACCTTTGAAACACGCAGGCGTTTGCCCAGTGTGTGTGGCTGAGGCGTAAGTTTGGGGGCCTGGGGTGGAAGGGTGGGGAGCAGGACAGAGGGAAGGGTTGCAA